GTGTAACGTGGAGGTAGGTTTGTCAGTGTAGTGATCTGGGGTTTGATGACGTGACATTCAACTAGTCTGACAGATGTAGTTACATTGAGCTAGACGTGTGACGTGTGGTGGTGTGACGTGGAGAGTAGGTTTGACACAGTTGTGATGTGGGGTGGTGTTACATTGAACTAATGCTTGACAGTGAAATGATGTGGGAAGTGTAGTGTGAATGGATGGAGTAGGTTTGACAATGTAGTGATGTGGGGTGGTGTGACATGGAGGTAGGTTTTGACAGTGTGGTGATGTAGGGTGGTGTGAATGGAGGTAGGTTTGACAATGTAGTGATGTGAGGTGGTGTGAATGGAGGTAGGTTTGACAGTGTAGTGATGTGGGGTGGTGTAAATGGAGTTAGGTTTGACATGTAATGTAGTGGGGGTGGGGTGGTGTGACATGGAGTTAAGTTGAACAGTGTAGTGACGTGGGGTGGGGTGGATGGAGGTAGGTTTGACAGTGTAGTGATGTCAGGTGGTGTAAATGGAGTTAGGTTTGACAATGTAGTGATGTGAATGGAGGTAGGGTTTCACATGGTAGTGATGTGGGGTGGTGGTGTGATTCAGAGGTAGGTTTGACAATGTAGTGATGTGGGGTGAAGTGAATGGAGGTAGGTTTGACAAGGTAGTGATGTGGGGTGGGTGTGAATGGAAGTAGGTTTGACAAAGGTTGTGATGTGGGGTGGTGTGACATTGAACTAGGTTTGACAGTGTAGTCATGTGGGGTGGGCTGGTGTGACATTGAACTAGTTTTGACAGTGAAATGATGTTGGGTGGTGTGACATTGAACTAGTCTTGACAGTGTAGTGACGTGGGGTGGTGTGACGTAGGAAGTAGGTTTGACAGTGTAGTGATGTGGGGGTTTTGGCGTGACATTGAACTAGTGACAATTAGAAATTTGGATGGTGTGACACTGAGCTAGTCTTGACAGTGTAGTGATGTTTGGGTGGTGTGACATGGAGAGTAGGTTTGACAATGTAGTGATGTTGGGTGGTGTGACATGGAGGTAGGTTTAACAGTGTAGTGATGTTGAGGTGTGGTGTGACATGGAGGTAGGTTTGACAAGTGTAGTGATGTTGGGTGGTGTGACATGGAGAGTAGGTTTGACAGTGTATTGATGACGGATGTGACATTGAGCTAGTCTTGGCGTGTAGTGATGTGGTAGGTGTGACATTGAGCTAGTCTTGACAATGTAGTGACGTGTGGTGGTGTGACATGGAGTAGGTTTGACACAGTTGTGATGTGGGGTGGGGTGACATTGAACTAGTCCTGACACTGTAGTGATGTGGGGTGGTGTGACATTGAGCTAGTCCCTGACAGTGTAGTGACGTAGGGTGGTGTGACGTGGAGAGTAGGTTTGACACAGTTGTGATGTGGGGTGGTGTGACATTGAACTAGTCTTGACAGTGAAGTGATGTGGGGTGGTGTGACATTGAACTACTCTTGACAGTGTAGTGACGTGGGGTGGTGTAACGTGGAGGTAGGTTTGTCAGTGTAGTGATCTGGGGTTTGATGACGTGACATTCAACTAGTCTTGACAGTGAAGTGATGTGGGTAGGAGTGACATTGAGCTAGTCCCGACAGTGTAGTGACGTGTGGTGGTGTGACGTGGAGGTAGGTTTGACACAGTTGTGATGTGGGATGGTGTTACATTGAACTAGTCTTGACAGTGAAATGATGTGGGGTGGTGTGAATGGAGGTAGGTTTGACAATGTAGTGATGTGGGGTGGTGTGACATGGAGGTAGGTTTGACAGTGTGGTGATGTGGGGTGGTGTGAATGGAGGTAGGTTTGACAATGTAGTGATGTGGGGTGGTGTGAATGGAGGTAGGTTTGACAGTGTAGTGATGTGGGGTGGTGTAAATGGAGTTAGGTTTGACAATGTAGTGGGGTGGGGTGGGGTGACATGGAGGTAAGTTGAAAAGTGTAGTGACGTGGGGTGGGGTGGATGGAGAATATGTTTGACAGTGTAGTGATGTGGGGGTGGTGTAAATGGAGTTAGGTTTGACAATGTAGTGGTCTGAATGGTAGTAGGTTTCACATGGTAGTAGTGATGTGGGGTGGTGTGATTCGAGGTAGGTTTGACAGTGTAGTGATGTGGGGTGAAGTGAATGGAAGTAGGTTTGACAAGGTAGTGATGTGGGGTGGTGTAAATTGAGAGTAGGTTTGACAAGGTAGTGATGTAGGGTGGTGTGAATGGGAGTAGGTTTGACAAAGGTTGTGATGTGGGGTGGTGTGACATTGAACTAGGTTTGACAGTGTAGTCATGTGGGGTGGGGTGGTGTGACATTGAACTAGTTTTGACAGTGAAATGATGTGGGGTGGTGTGACATTGAACTAGTCTTGACAGTGTAGTGACGTAAGGGTGGTGTGACGTGGAAGTGGGGTTTGACAGTGTAGTGATGTGGGGTTTGGTGACGTGACATTGAACTAGTCTTGACAGTGTAGTGAATTTGGATGGTGTGACACTGAGCTATTCTTGACAGTGAAATGATGAGGGTGGTGTGAATGGAGGTAGGTTTCACATTGTAGTGATGTTGGGTGGTGTGACATGGAGGTAGGTTTAACAATGTAGTAGTGAGGGTGTGGGTGGTGTGAAGTGTAGAAGTAGGTTTGACAGAGTAGGTGTGATGTTGGGGTTGTGTAAAAATGGAGTTAGGTTTGACAATGTAGTGGGGTGGGGTGGTGTGACATGGAAGTAGGTTGAACAGTGTAGTGACGTGGGGTGGGAAGGATGGGAGGTAGGTTTGACAGTGTAGTGATGTGGGGGTGGTGTAAATGGAGTTAGGTTTGACAATGTAGTGATGTGAATGAGGTAGGTTTCACATGAAGTAGTGATGTGGGGTGGTGTGAATGGAGGTAGGTTTGACAATGTAGTGATGTGGGGTGAAGTGAATGGAGGTAGGTTTGACAATGTAGTGATGTAGGGGTGGTGTGAATGGAGTTAGGTTTGACAAAAGGTAGTGATGTTAGGGTGGTGTGAATGGAGAGTAGGTTTGACAGTGTAGTCATGTGGGGTGGGGTGGTGTGACATTGAACTAGTTTTGACAGTGAGTGATGTAGGTGGTTGACAAGAACTAGTCTTGACAGTGTAGTGACGTGGGATGGTGTGACGTGGAGTTAGGTTTAACAGTGTAGTGATGTGGTGTTGGGTGACGTGACATTGAACTAGTCTTGACAGTGTAGGAATTTGGATGGTGTGACACTGAGCTAGTCTTGACAATGTGGTGACGTGGGGTGGTGTGACGTGGAGGTAGGTTTGACAGTGTAGTGATGTGGGATTTTGTGAAAGGGGGTAGGTTTGACAGTGTAGTGATGTGGGATGGTGTGGCATTGAGCTAGTCCTGACAGTGTAGTGACGTGGGGTAGTTTGACGTTGAGGTAGGTTTGACAGTGTACTGATGTGGGGATGGGTGGTGTGACATTGAACTAGTCTTGACAGTGAAGTGATGTGGGGTGGTGTGACATTGAACTAATCTTGACAGTGAAGTGATGTGGGGTGGTGTGACATTGAACTAATCTTGACAGTGAAGTGATGTGGGGTGGGGTGACATTGAGCTAGTCTTGACAGTGAAGTGATGTGGGGTGATGTGACATTGAACAAGTCTTGACAGTGTAGTGATGTGGGGTGGTGTGACATTCAACTAGTCTTGACAGTGAAGTGATGTGGGGTGGTGTGACATTGAACTAATCTTGACAGTGAAGTGATGTTGGGTGGGGTGACATTGAGCTAGTCTTGACAGTGAAGTGATGTGGGGTGGTGTGACATTGAGCTAGTCCTGACAGTGTAGTGGTGTGGGGTGGTGTGAATGGAGGTAGGTTTGGCAGTGTAGTCATGTTGGGTTGGGTGGTGTGACATTGAACTAGTTTTGACAGTGAAATGATGTGGGGTGAGGTGACATTGAACTAGTCTTGACAGTGTAGTGACGTGGGGTGGTGTGACGTGGAGTTAGGTTTAACAGTGTATTGATGTGGGGTTGGGTGACGTGACATTGAACTAGTCTTGACAGTGTAGTGAATTTGGATGGCGTGACATTGAGGTAGGTTGACAGTGTAGTCATGTGGGGTGGGGTGGTGTGGTGTGGTGTGACATTGAACTAATCTTGACAGTGAAGTGATGTGGGGTGGTGTGACATTGAACTAATCTTGACAGTGAAGTGATGTGGGGTGGGGTGACATTGAGCTAGTCCTTACAGTGAAGTGATGTGGGGTGATGTGACATTGAACAAGTCTTGACAGTGTAGTGATGTGGGGTGGTGTGACATTGAACTAGTCTTGACAGTGAAGTGATGATGTGGGGTGGTGTGACATGACAGAGGTATGTGGAGGTTTGACATTGAGCTGAATGACAGTGGTGATGTGAGGGTGATGTGGGGTGGTGACATTGAGCTAGTCCCTTACAGTGAAGTGATGTGGGGTGATGTGACATTGAACAAGTCTTGACAGTGTAGTGATGTGGGGTGGTGTGACATTGAAGTAGTCTTGACAGTGAAGTGATGTGGGGTGGTGTGACATTGAATTAGGCTTGACAGTGTAGTGAATTTGGGTGGTGTGACACTGAGCTAGTCTTGACAATGTGGTGACGTGGGGTGGTGTGACGTGGAGGTTGGTTTGACACAGTTGTGAAGTGGGATGGTGTGACATTGAAGTAGTCTTGACAGTGTAGTGACGTGGGGTGGTGTGACGTGGTGATATGTTTGACATAGGTGTGAAGCGGGCTGGTTTGTCATTCGTGGCGAAACCATTAGGTGAAATATTGGACATTCTTCCTGCAGTTGGGTTGGACAAAGTATTGATCTACGATAGTACACATTGAAGGTGGGTTTGAGATAGTAATGAACTGATAGGGTAAGCGTGGTGTTGTGGTACCTTTAGCTACCCGTGAGAAGTGTATGCTGAATATGCATTTGAATTTCTGTTTCAGTATTTATTCATATAAAGTGCTGATTGTTTGCTACGTCCCGTTTTCCAGAAACTCTGCGTATCCACCTGGAGCCACCAGGTAGTGTCCTCAACGTCTTTCCTCGGTCAGCCAATCAGTGTCAAGTGTGTGGTCGATTACTCCAACTCTCCCGTCACGTCGTTCAGGTGGACACACAGTGGACGTTCATACAGCGGACAAACCTTCAGTAAAACAGTAACATCCAAGTCTGACTCGGGCACACTGACATGCAGTGTCCAGAATGTGAGGGCCTCCACTCGAATCAACGTGTGGTGTAAGTGTTCCATGGAATAAAGTCATTAAAGTGGAGATATATTATGATCATAAAAAGATGCAATGTAAAAGAAAGACTAGGTCAGTGGAGACAAGTAAAGGGTGTTACATGCAGGAATACGTTGAAGTAGTTTTTAGCTTGATTTGAGATTTTTTTGAACAGCTTGTGGGCTCTATGTGAGATCAAAGCCCGCAGATATGTTGTTCAGCGAGCCTGGGAATGATGCAGACAAATCAATCATCAGAGTTATGATAAATATTGACGTCAAACAACGATCATAGGTGTCTGGGAGGTCTTGAAGGTACACAAGTGCGGCTACCTGTGCTATAAAGATAGGCTACAAATGGCATATGCTTAATCTTACTACATTTAATGTTGCAAATCTAGATTTACATTTTTTTTCATATTTAGTAAATAAGAACCACTCAAAAAATTACATTTACCAACGTACACCCAGGAAAATACTTGATTCATTTCAAAATGGAATAATGTGGGAATCCTTTTGTGACACTGAAGATTATCATTTCGAACATTCCCTCAGTGAAACAAAGCCGAATGTGTTTCTTCGCTCAACATTATTCTAATTCGTTGAATATATCAGGTTTTTAAATGACAATTAGAAGCCATACACATAAGGAATTGAATTTTATGGATGTCAACTTCTCTTTTATGGGGAACACAACGTTTAGGGGTATATTCCAATTCCTCCATGATTTGAGTGATGAATGATTCACCTGATGAAGGAGTACGTATATACTCCAAAACGTTGTGTTCCTCATAATAGAGAAGCTGACATCCATAAAATTATCTTCCTTCCTTGTTCAAAATACAACTCTGTTTGATGTGATATCGCAGCATGCATAATGTACAAAGTCTCCGTTTCACCAAAGATCACATAAATGTCTCCAGACCCTCCGGAAGTACATCTGGAACCGAGCAATGACACCATCAATGTTGGTGTTGGTGAAGACCTCCGTGTGCAGTGTGTCGTGGATGATGCCAACCCTAGTGTCGAGATATACAGGTGGTCACACAACGGACGGACGAGTACTGGGTCGACCTTCCTAAAACGTGACGTAACCAAGTCTGATCAAGGACAACTGACCTGTACTGCTGACAATGGACACATGATGACACCTGGACGGGCAGATGCAACTGTTAGGATCAGATGTAAGCTATGCTCTTTAACTTGTATATCCTTTCTGTAAAAATGAGGCATCCTTTTACCGTGTTGCAGACATCTGTGAATGTGCACTTCTATCAGTTAGCAGCATGTTGTTTTTACCATATATTAATCTAAGACACACTGAGGCTTTGCACTAGAGATTGTAGTGTGGTATGTCTGGAGGTTGGTATCTGGCAGTAGTGATATTGTCCGTGCATGTCCGGGACGTGGTTTTGACACATTTGCAGTGTTGTGATGTGTGATGGTATGTGGCTGGGGAATTTGATTTAGTAATGATGGGCTAGGATAGGGGTGGTTGGGGTCGGAGGGTACATATTTAAACGTGGGGTACGTATTATTTCCTGTATACAGAAATATGTCTAGAAGCTGTATCTAAATTGCAGATTTTATATTTAATGAGGCTATTTCAAGATTGTTTATTTGGTCATATCTTTCAGCAACGTTGAGAATACACTTGGAGCCACAAGGAAGTGTCATCAACGTCCTTCTTGGGCAAGTACTCAGTGTTGTATGTGTGATTGATGTCTCCAACACTCCGGTCACTTCGTTCAGGTGGACACACAGTGGACGTTCCTACAGTGGACAAACCTTCAGTAAAACAATAACATCCAAGTCTGACTCGGGCACATTGACATGCAGTGTCCAGAATGTGAGGGCCTCCACTCGAATCAACGTGTGGTGTAAGTGTTCCATGGAATAAAAGTCATTAAAGTGAAGATATATTATGGTCATAAAAAAGTTGATCGATATAAGAAAGAACTGATAAAAGAATGGAATTGGGAAGAAGATGTGGCGTATTTGGGGAAAGTAACAGAGGTTATCTCTCTGACATGCTATAAAGTGCACATGTGCTTGGTTGTAAGGCCACACAATGTACAGTTTCTTTGCTTGATGTGAGATCAAGTTCGACAGATGTAGCTCCACAAGCATGGGTATTGTGCTGCCACATCAATGATTACTGCCATGATAAATATGGAATTCAAATCACTATTATATACATACTATTCACACTTTGCTAAGGATCAAATCATGGATTCAACAGAAAAGCATGGATCCAAGATTTCAGTTTGTCATTTCGTCTTGTGGATCCTATACCTCCTATTGACAGGTGTTGTGTACTTGTCAATGACTTGTTCCATTATTTGCAAAATGGTTGACTGGTGCCATGAAAACCATTTTTATGGTTACTCATGTATCAAGTGCATAAGGTTAGATTAAAGTGAGTGTTTGCCTAAGGAGGGGCTACCATATATTTATATATCCAATTTCAAATGGATATAATTTCAAATTATAAATCTACGTTAAAGTAAAGTTGTGAATTTTTGTGATCCTTAGCAAAGTGTGAGAAGTATATATCTTGCAGGTAATACATGTTTACAGCCCCGATGACCACCAAATTAGCTGTGCCACCCATGCAATCAAACAACGTCATATGCTGCATTATGCTATATTCACATTTATTATGACCAATATATATCTATTTTGTTTAATCCACGAACTAATAACATGTCTGTTTCGTCACATCCGTATGATATGACATTGCTAATGTCTCCAGACCCGCCAGAGGTACATCTGGAACCGAGCAATGACACCATCAATGTTCGTGTCGGTGAAGACCTCCAGTGTGCAGTGTGTCGTGGATGATGCCAACCCTAGTGTCCAGATATACAGGTGGTCACACAACGGACAAACAAGTACTGGGTCGACCTTCCTCAAACGTGACGTAACCAAGTCTGATCAAGGACAACTGACCTGTACTGCTGACAATGGAAACATGACGACACCTGGACGGGCAGATGCAACTGTTAATGTCCGATGTAAGCTATGTCATTTAACTTTTATTAATATCTTTCCTGTAACAATGAGGCATTCTGATACCGTGTTAGAGACATCTGCGAATGTGCCATGTATCTCCGTATAAAACATGCAGTTTTTAACATATATTCATATAAGAACCACCGAAGTTTTGCAGTAGTAATGCTTGTGTCGTATGTTTGGAGGCTGGTATCAGACAGTAGTGATGCTGGTGTGGTATGTCTGGAGGTTCGACATAAGACAGTAGAGATGTTGGTATGGTATGTCAGGAGGTTGGTATCAGACAGTAGTGATGCAGTGGTATGTCTGGAGGTTGGTATCAGACAGTAGTGATGTTGGTGAGGTATGTCTGGAGGTTGGTATCAGACAGTAGTGATGTTGGTATGGTATGTCAGGAGGTTGCTATCAGACAGTAGTGATGTTGGTATGGTATGTCTGGTGGTTGGTATCAGACAGTAGTGATGCTGTTGTGGTATGTCTGGAGGTTGGTATCAGACAGTAGTGATGCTGGTGTGGTATGTCTGAAGGTTGGTATCAGACAGTAGTGATGTTGGTATGGTATGTCTGGAGGTTGGTATCAGACAGTAGTGATGTTGGTATGGTACGTCTGGAGGTTGGTACCAGACAGTAGTGATGTTGGTGTGTTATGTCTGGAGGTTGGTATCAGACAGTAGTGATGCTGGTGTGGTGTGTCTGGAGGTTGGTATCAGACAGTAGTAATGCCGGTGTGGTATGTCTGGAGGTTGGTATCAGACAGTAGTGATGCTGGTGTGGTATGTCTGGAGGTTGGTACCAGACAGTAGTTATATTGGTATGATATGTCAGGAGGTTGGTATCAGTCAGTAGTAATGTTGGTATGGTATGTCAGGAGGTTGGTATCAGACAGTAGTGATGTTAGTATGGTATGTCTGGTAGTTGGTACCAGACAGTAGTGATGTTGGTATGGTATGTCTGGAGGTTGGTACCAGACAGTAGTGATGTTGGTGTGTTATGTCTTGAGGTTGGTTTCAGACAGTAGTGATGCTGGTGTGGTATGTCTGGAGGTTGGTATCAGACAGAAGTGATGCTGGTGTGGTATGTCTAGAGGTTGGTTTCAGACAATAGTGATGCTGGTGTGGAATGTTTGGGGGTTGGTATCAGACAGTAGTGATGTTGGTATGGTATGTCTAGAGGTTGGTATCAGACAGTAGTAGTAAGATGTCTGATGTATGGTGTGGTATGTCTGGAGGTTGGTATCAGACAGTAGTCAGACAGTAGTGATGCTTTTGGTATGGTATGTCTAGAGGTTGGTATCAGACAGTAGTGATGCTGGTGTGGTATGTCTGGAGGTTGGTATCAGACAGTAGTGATGTTGGTATGGTATGTCTAGAGGTTGGTATCAGACAGTAGTGATGCTGGTGTGGTATGTCTGGAGGTTGGTATTCAGACAGTAGTGATGTTGGTATGGTATGTCTAGAGGTTGGTATCAGACAGTAGTGATGCTGGTGTGGTATGTGGTGAAGGTTGGAATCAGACAGTAGTGATGTTGGTATGGTATGTCTAGATGTTGGTATCAGACAGTAGTGATGCTGGTGTGGTATGTCTGGAGGTTGGTATCAGACAGTAGTGATGCTGGTGTGGTATGTCTGAAGTTTGGAATCAGACAGTAGTGATGTTGATATGGTATGTGTAGATGTTTGTATGACACAGTAGTGATGCTGTGGTGGTATGTCTGGAGGTTGGTATGAGACAGTAGTGATGCTGGTGTGGTATGTCTGGAGATTGGTATCAGACAATAGTGATGCTGGTATGGTATGTCTGGAGGTTGGTATCAGACAGTAGTGATGCTGGTGTGATATGTCTGGAGGTTGGTATCAGACAGTAGTGATGCTTGTGTGATATGTCTGGAGGTTGGTATCAGACAGTAGTGATGCTGGTGTGGTATGTCTGGAGGTTGGTATCAGACAGTAGTGATGCTGGTGTGGTATGTCTGGAGGTTGGTATGAGACAGTAGTGATGCTGGTGTGGTATGTCTGAAGTTTGGAATCAGACAGTAGTGATGTTGGTATGGTATGTGTAGATGTTTGTATGACACAGTAGTGATGCTGTGGTGGTATGTCTGGAGGTTGGTATCAGACAGTAGTGATGCTGGTGTGGTATGTCTGGAGGTTGGTATCAGACAGTAGTGATGTTGGTATGGTATGTCTGGAGGTTGGTATCAGACAGTAGTGATGCTTGTGTGATATGTCTGGAGGTTGGTATCAGACAGTAGTGATGCTGGTGTGGTATGTCTGGAGGTTGGTATTAGACAGTAGTGATGTTGGTATGGTATGTGGTGAAGTTGGTATCAGACAGTAGTGATGCTGATATGGTTTGTCTGGAGGTTGGTATCACACAGTAGTGATGCTTCTGTGGTATGTCTTGAGGTTGGTATCAGACAGTAGTGATGCTGGTGTGTTATGTGTGGAGGTTGGTATCAGACAGTAGTGATGTTGGTGTGATATGTCTGGAGGTTGGTATCAGACAGTAGTGATGTTGGTGTGGATATGTCTGGAGGTTGGTATCAGACAGTAGTGATGCTGGTGTGGTATGTCTGGAGGTTGGTATCAGACAGTAGTGATGCTGATGTGGTATGTCTGGAGGTTGGTATTAAACAGTAGTGATGTTGGAATGGTATGTCTAGAGGTTGGTATGAGACAGTAGTGATGCTGGTGTGGTATGTCTGGAGGTTGGTATCAGACAGTAGTGATATTGGTATGGTATGTGGTGCAGTTGGTATCAGACAGTAGTGATGCTGATATGGTTTGTCTGGAGGTTGGTATCACACAGTAGTGATGCTGGTGTTGTATGTATGGAGGTTGGTATCAGACAGTAGTGATGCTTCTGTGGTATGTCTTGAGGTTAGTATCAGACAGTAGTGATGCTGGTGTGTTATGTGTGGAGGTTGGTATCAGACAGTAGTGATGTTGGTATGATATGTCTGGAGGTTGGTATCAGACAGTAGTGATGTTGGCCGTACATGTCCAGGACGTTTCTGTGACACTTTTGTAATGTTCGGATGTGTGATGGTATGTGGTTGGGGTGTTTGAGATAAAATGATGGGGGTGGTTGGGGTCTGTGAGTACATATTTAAACGTGGGGTACGTATGATTTCCTGAAATGTGTCTAGAAGATATATCTAAATTGCAGATTATATATTTAATAAGGCTATTTCCAGATTATTTATTTGGTCATATCTTTCAGCAACGTTGAGAATACACTTGGAGCCACAAGGAAGTGTCATCAACGTCCTTCTTGGGCAAGTACTCAGTGTTGTATGTGTGATTGATGTCTCCAACACTCCGGTCACTTCGTTCAGGTGGACACACAGTGGACGTTCGTACAGTGGACAAACATTCAGTAAAACAATAACATCCAAGTCTGACTCGGGCACATTGACATGCAATGTCCCGAATTCGAGGGCCTCCACTCGAATCAACGTGTGGTGTAAGTGTTCCATGGAATAAAGTCATTAAAGTGAAGATATATTATGATCATAAAAGAAATTAATATATTTGAGAAAGAATGGAAAAAGAAGGAATTGGGACGAAGATAAAGGCGTATTTGGAGAAAGTAACAAAGGATATCTTTCTGACATGCTATCAAGTACATGTACACATGAGCTTGTTTGTAAGGCCACACTTTGTACAGCTTCTGTGCTTGATGTGAGATTAAGTTCTAGAGAAGTAGCTCCACAAGCATGGGTATTGTGCTGCCAAATCAGTGACTACTGGGATGGTAAATATGGAATTCAAACCACAATCATATATACCTGGAAGGTCTAATGTTTAGAGCGCCGATGACCACATGACCATCTATGCTACCAGTAAAATCACCAAACGTCATATACTGCATTATACTATAATTACATTTGTCATGACCAATATATTTCTATTTCGTTTATTCTACATCCAAGTAAAATGTCTGGTCACGTCCGTTTGATGTGATATTGCATCATTTGCTAATTAAATTTATGGCTGATACAAATATTATAATGTCTCCAGACCCACCAGAGGTACATCTGGAACCGAGCAATGATACCATTGATGTTGCTGTCGGCGAAGACCTCAGTGTGCGATGTGTCGTGGATGGTGCCAACCCTAGTGTCCAGATATACAGGTGGTCACACAACGGACGAACAAGTGCTGGGTGGACCTTCCTAAAGCGTAACGTAACCAAGTCTGACCAAGGACAACTGACCTGTACTGCTGACAATGGACACATGATGACACCTGGACGGGCAGTTGCAACTATAAATGTGAAATGTAAGGGCAAGTGTTAATATTACGATTGCTTACTTGAATGATATTGCGGAATTGGTTTTGCTTTGATTGACTGAGATCAGGATTATCGTATCATGCGTTGGACATGCGTTACAAGTCCTGACGTCACATCAGTGTTAAATCATTGAAGGTAACGTCATGTCAGCCCTTGTTCGTTACATCTGTCATGGGTTCAGGTCTTGAATTGTGCAAGGACAATGAATGATGAGACGAGGAACGTCGCTTAAGAGTAAAACCAGTTTATTGCCTGTGAAATAAGAAGATAACAACATGAGAAAGATGTGTACGTCAGACATGGTCGGATGGTAACATGAAAGTACGTGCATATGTGAGTGAGTGAAATGGTTTTACGCCGCTCTTAGCAAATATTCCAGCAATGTCACGGCGAAGGACACCAGAAATAGGTTTCACCACTTGTACCCATTTTGGAAATCGAACCCTGGCCTTCATCGTGACGACCGAACGCATTAACCGCTAGGCTACCCCACCGCCCCCCCGTATATATGTTATTATATTAATACAAACCAATACAATTATAGATATAAGCGTTGTACATAATAGTTGTGCTATAATTGTATAATTAATAAAATATGCTACAAACAAAAAGTATAGGAAAACCCGAACATTTGGTAGTCACATATAACCTTAAACGTGGTGAGATCTTTTATACTTTAAGGTAATGCACCTTTTTATGTGCTTAATGGGTGCCTTAAACGGCATGTTAGAACATGCAGTGAAGCAACTGATTCAATATTCGTTGAGTTTGACTGAAATTAAACATTGTCAAAATCCGCGAAGACAAGGGTGCTGAAACACGCTAGCACCATGTTTGATTCAAACGCCCAAACACAACAGCCTAGTGCATGTGGAAGACAGACGTCCCATGCAACTCTCCATAAGGCTGTATGACCAAACGGATGAGGTACAGTCAAGCATGCTCTTTTAAAACAGCGTCATACGACTCTTGCTTAGAAGTTGTTCAATCAAGGTTACCACATTCCAGGCTTAGTAAAGCTTTCAAATTTTGTATGGTAGACGTGTGGAGGAGATAGAATACTCGGTATCTTCACTATTTTGATAGTGATTCGTAAACACATGTTCATAATATACTCATGGAAACAAATAAAGAACACATTAAAGTGCAAGTGTTCCTTGATTCTTTCCATGTTTCTTCACAAGGCATGCATTGCACTGTGGGTGAAATTCTGGAAATAAATAGACGAACACTTGTACTTTCATGTGTTCCCTTTTTCGTTCCCATGAGTATATATGAAATTATACGGTTGTACAGTCTTCATTTGGAAGACATTTCTTATGGATGTGGTTTTCCTGCCATTGTTTATGTATCATCAGACAGATTGTTTTCACAGGGTATAAATGTTTCCTGATATTGTGCAATTGTGTACTGTAAATGTTTGATGTTGTGGTTATTTTTCAAACCTTGTAAAACATGAACTGAAACCTTGTGTCTGACATAAGATCCACCGGAGATCCACCTGTCAACAAGGCCAGATGTCATCAGTGTCATGGGTGGGAATGCTGTTGAAGTTGAATGTGTCGTTGACGATGCAAACCCTGCCGTCACCTCCTACGTGTGGCGTCACAACGGCGATATCACTTACGGACAAACATTTCTGAAACACGTGTCATCTTCTGATTCGGGGAACCTATCGTGCTCTGCTACCAATAGACAAGGGACATCAACTGTACAAACAGGCATCGAAGTCTGTGAGTAGCCCCATTATCGTTGTTGTGTGTTCTGCCTAGACGTTAAGCAAAACCGATAAATGTAAATAAGGTAAATGTTTCACTTGATGGTTGGACAAACTTGTCACATATGCTAAAACAGATTACAATTCCTCAGAAGGCAAATATATATTTGTAAAGATGATATAATGTACAATATAACAGTGTGTCGAAAATCCTGAATGGTACCAGACCCGCCAGAGATATATCTGGAACCAATCAATGACCAGTGTCGTGGTCGGTCAAGACGTGCATGTACACTGTGTAGTACATGATGCTAACTCTTGTAGAAAAGGCAAAACTTCAAATACGTCTCCAAATGGCGTACATTCGTGCCTTCATTTTGATAATCTGTTCTGACTGTTCTGTCGCAGTGCAAGCTTCCTCCTTGATCGGGAACGATGAAACTACAAGCAAGAATGCAGTGATTGCCATAGCAACAGGATCTGTGGCCATAGTCATCCTCATCCTGCTCCTCATCATCATTATCTACCAGAGGAGGAGAATGCAGACGGCAAAACGTAAGTGTAATTGTGGTATATATTGATGGTATGGGTGACATAATCTATGCACATAGCTTCACACAATATTCACCAATTTACGTTAATATAGTGAGTGAGTGCGTGAGTGAATGAGTTAAAATTTACAGTCACATCGGCAGTATTTCAGCCATTCCGTGACTAAAACAAGTTTCAAACTGACCATAAATACATGTAAATTCTAATAACCTGTCTAAACCAACTAAAACCAACTAAAATATCACAGTATCAAGAATTAAAACTAGCAACTTTCTCTAACATTGGATTTCAAATTAGGACAAGACGGTATAAAAATAGGCTGTAGATCGCCAACAACTGAAGGTAGATCAACTTACTAGGGACCATGGGGACTTACAGTGCCTTTGCTACCTGCATGGACCCTAGTTGGATTTATACCGTCCCTTCAGATGTTAACGATTGCAGACAAATCTAGCCTTATGTTAAAATAACATATATCCTACGATTTAATAATGTGGTAGGTTTAAATTTTCTGTGACTCTTTTGGGACTTACGTATACTCTCACTACTTTAACCCCCTTCGAGCATACAGCCACTACTAATCTCAGTTACTAAGTTGAACTTCCAATCATAAAAAGTACATGTATTTACAAAACATTTTTAATCACCATTTTGTCAATCCATTCTATCTCTTTTAAAACGTCGATATACGTTAATATAACAACTATACTATGTATAAAAACGAGAATCTATCCAATATTAGTAAATTTTGCTGAAAACAGCATAGAATAGCATTGCTCTGAATATGTCATTGTCAACTGCGTTTTCTTTCCAGCTATTGAGAATCAACAGAGGTAGGTGTCTTTTTCATTGATGGAGCCAAATTGCCCTTTCTGTTCTTTACTCCCCACAAAATATAAAGTCCTGCCCAACATATGTTTATTTACCGATGTATATACTATTAAATTGTAAAAAGCTATCTAAAATGCGTAAAAATGTATATTTACATCAATCACAATGGCATATTTGTCAGTAAGTAGAGACCTTTGTCTGTTGTGCAGTTATAAAAGTTACTGAAGCTTCTTTAAGTGGCGGTTGGTAGGATGAAGAGGTTCACGTTGTATGGTTTAACCTCTTTTTGATTGCATTGGATACGACGTTCGGTGTAGATGCTTGATAGCGGCGTTATTATCACCACCTAACATCCATGGCAACAAAGATGTCGTCAATCCTTATAACATGTTGTTCCTTGACGGTAATGCAGAGTAACGAACCATATATTTGACTTATTATATCCTAATGTCTGTTAAACGAGAATGTTCCTTCTTAAACTTAATGAATGGTAATATTAACAGTAACGAACAATATCTTTGAGATGTGTGATGAACAAGAATATAATCACTATGTCCATCGTGGCACAGATTGTATAATTTGATGTTGTGTTTGTGTGTGTAAACTAGACCTACACAGACGTCCAGGGCAGATGGTGCAAGACGCCGACAGAATTACGAGACCATGGAGCGGCCAAGTGGAGGTATAGCACCGATATCATATACAAGGAAGGATAAGCAATATATGGATGAACAACTTCTTTATTGCTGTGCGAGCGACGTTTCCAGGTGAACACTGTTATCAAGCAAGTGATGGACAGCAAGAGGATAGAGAAGCATATATACAAGTTAGAGGAGATGTTTGTACCTTACAATTGGGATTAGGAAGCCAGACACAATAACAACGCATGGCCTTTGATAAAAGGCGTTAACAAGCCTGCAATGTACACAAGGGAATAGTGAAAACTGTAATATGCATAAAGGGGGGATTATGGATGGTGAGGATCTTTGATGAGTTGGTAGTATGTAGGAATGATATATAATCAGTTTGGTGGTGGTTGATTGATGTCTGGAGTCTTTTGATGTAGATAGCTTCTTGGAGTGTCCTGAGTTTACAGTTTTTGAGGTTGGTTGTTAGGGTTTTGGCTCTGTCCGACTGGAACCTGTGGTCGGGGTTGCCTTGGATGTGATCTGATAGGGCTGATTTTGATACTGATGCCTGATGCTCTTTGACTCGGGTTTTGAGGGGTCTTGATATTTCACCTACATAGGCCTGTACACAATTGCATCGGACGTGGGCAACTGTTCCCAGTAGTTGTTGTATCTGGCTGGTTGGTTCTCTGGAAAACCACATTTATATTGGCCTGTTTTTTTCCAAGATTCTCTGGATTTTGTGGCTGACAATTCCGTAGTAGGGGGGGCTGATGATAAAGGGTGCAGATTGTTGGCGGGTGGATTTCTTTGTTTTGTTGTTTAAGTTCTGTATGGTTTGTTGCTGTTCGGGGTAGTTGTTGTACTGGGTGAAGACTTGTTTCAGGTGCTGGAGTTCGGTGGTAACGTCGCTCTCACAGCAATAAAGAAGTTCATCTATATATTGGTAAAATACAAACTTTTAAATGCCTCTCAAAGAAAATATCATATACAGTATATACTGAGTTACGTGAACGGCCAAGTGGAGGTAAAGCACCAATATTATATATAGCATATACTGAGTGACGTGAACGGCCAAGTGGAGGTATAGCACCAATTTTATAAATAACATATACTGAATGATGTGAACGGCCAAGTGGGGGTATAGCACCAATATTATCTATAGCATATACTGAGTGACGTGAACGGCCAAATGGGGGTATAGCACCAATATTATATATAGCATATACTTAGTGACGTGAACGGTCAAGTGGGGGTATAGCACCAATATTATATATAGCATATACTGAGTGACGTGAACGGCCAAATGGAGGTATAGCATCAATATTATATATAGCATATACTTAGTGACGTGAACGGTCAAGTGGAGGTATAGCACCAATATTATATATAGCATATACTGAATGACATGAACGTCCAGGTGGAGGTATAGTACCAATATTATATATAGCATATACTGAGTGACGTGAACGGCCAAATGGAGGTATAGCATCAATATTATATATAGCATATACTTAGTGACGTGAACGGTCAAGTGGGGGTATAGCACCAATGTTATATATAGCATATATTGAGAGACGTGAACGGCCAAGTAGAGGTATAGCACCAATGTTATCTATAGCATATACTGAGTGACGTGAACGGCCAAGTGGAGGTATAGCACCAATGTCATATAAAGCATATACTGAGTGACGTGAACGGCCAAGTGGAGGTATGGCACCAATATTATATATAGCATGTACTGAGTGACGTGAACGGCCAAGTGGAGGTATAGCACCAATGTTATATATAGCATGTACTGAGTGACGTGAACGGCCAAGTGGAGGTATGGCACCAATGTTATATATAGCATATACTGAGTGACGTGAACGGCCAAGTGGAGGTATAGCACCAATATTATATATAGCATATACTGAGTGACGTGAACGGCCAAGTGGAGGTATAGCACCAATATTATATATAGCATATACTGAGTGAATCGAAAGGCCAAGTGGAGGCATGGCATTAATATTATATGTAGCATATACTGAGTGACGTGAACGGCCAAGTGGAGGTATAGCACCAATGTTATATATAGCATGTACTGAGTGACGTGAACGGCCAAGTGGAGGTATGGCACTAATATTATATATAGCATATACTGAGTGACGTGAACGGCCAAGTGGAGGTATAGCACCAATATTATATATAGCATATACTGAATGACGTGAACGGCCAAGTGGAGGTATAGCACCAATATTATATATAGCATATACTGAGTGAATCGAAAGGCCAAGTGGAGGCATGACACTAATATTATATATAGCATATACTGAGTGACGTGAACGGCCAAGTAGAGGTATGGCACCAATGATATATATAGCATACACTGAGTGACGTGAATGGTCAAATGGAGGTATAGCACCAATATTATATAGAGCATATACTGAGTGACGTGAACGGCCAAGTGGAGGTATGGCACTAATATTATATATATCATATACTGAGTGACGTGAACGGCCAAGTGGAGGCATGGCATTAATATTATATGTAGCATATACTGAGTGACGTGAACGGCCAAGTGGAAGTAAGTATAGCACCAATATTATATATAGCATATACTGAGTGACGTGAACGGCCAAGTGGAGGCATGGCATTAATATTATATGTAGCATATACTGAGTGACGTGAACGGCCAAGTGGAAGTATAGCACCAATATTATATATAGCATGTACTGAGTGACGTGAACGGCCAATGGAGGTATGGCACCAATGTCATATAAAGCATATACTGAATGACGTGAACGGCCAGGTGGAGGTATGGCACCAATGGTATATATAGCATGTACTGAATGACGTGAACGGCCAAGTGGAGGTACAGCCCCAATCTTATATAGAGCATATACTGAATGACGTGAACGGCCAAGTGGAGGTACAGCCCCAATCTTATATAGAGCATATACTGAATGACGTGAACGGCCAAGTGGAGGTATGGCACCAATGTTATATATAGCATATACTGAGTGACGTGAACGGCCAAGTGGAGGTATAGCACCAATATTATATATAGCATATACTGAATGACGTGAACGGCCAAGTGGAGGTATAGCACCAATATTATATATAGCATATACTGAGTGAATCGAAAGGCCAAGTGGAGGCATGACACTAATATTATATATAGCATATACTGAGTGACGTGAACGGCCAAGTGGAGGTATAGCACCAATGGTATATATAGCATGTACTGAGTGACGTGAACGGCCAAGTGGAGGTATGGCACCAATGTTATATATAGCATATACTGAGTGACGTGAACGGCCAAGTGGAGGTATAGCACCAATGTTATATATAGCATGTACTGAGTGACGTGAACGGCCAAGTGGAGGTATAGCACCAATGTTATATATAGCATGTACTGAGTGACGTGAACGGCCAAGTGGAGGTATGGCACCAATATTATATATAGCATATACTGAGTGACGTGAACGGCCAAGTGGAGGTATAGCACCAATATTATATATAGCATGTACTGAGTGGGCGTGAACGGCCAAGTGGAGGTATGGCACCAATATTATATATAGCATATACTGAGTGACGTGAACGGCCAAGTGGGAATTATAGCACCAATGTTATATATAGCATGTACTGAGTGACGTGAACGGCCAAGTGGAGGTATGGCACCAATGTTATATATAGCATATACTGAGTGACGTGAACGGCCAAGTGGAGGTATAGCACCAATATTATATATAGCATATACTGAATGACGTGAACGGCCAAGTGGAGGTATAGCACCAATATTATATATAGCATATACTGAGTGAATCGAAAGGCCAAGTGGAGGCATGACACTAATATTATATATAGCATATACTGAGTGACGTGAACGGCCAAGTAGAGGTATGGCACCAATGATATATATAGCATACACTGAGTGACGTGAATGGTCAAATGGGTATAGCACCAATATTATATAGGCATATACTGAGTGACGTGAACGGCCAAGTGGAGGTATGGCACTAATATTATATATATCATATACTGAGTGACGTGAACGGCCAAGTGGAGCATGGCATTAATATTATATGTAGCATATACTGAGTGACGTGAACGGCCAAGTGGAAGTATAGCACCAATATTATATATAGCATATACTGAGTGACGTGAACGGCCAAGTGGAGGCATGGCATTAATATTATATGTAGCATATACTGAGTGACGTGAACGGCCAAGTGGAAGTATAGCACCAATATTATATATAGCATGTACTGAGTGACGTGAACGGCCAATGGAGGTATGGCACCAATGTCATATAAAGCATATACTGAATGACGTGAACGGCCAGGTGGAGGTATGGCACCAATGGTATATATAGCATGTATGCTGAATGACGTGAACGGCCAAGTGGAGAATTACAGCCCCAATCTTATATAGAGCATATACTGAATGACGTGAACGGCCAAGTGGAGGTACAGCCCCAATCTTATATAGAGCATATACTGAATGACGTGAACGGCCAAGTGGAGGTATAGCACCAATGTTGTCTATAACATATACTTAGTGACGTGAACGGCCAAGTGGAGGCATGGCACCAATGGCATATAAAGCATATACTGAGTGACGTGAACGGCCAAGTGGAGGTATAGCACCAATGTTATATATAGCATATACTGAGTGACGTGAACGGCCAAGTGGAGGCATGGCATTAATATTATATGTAGCATATACTGAGTGACGTGAACGGCCAAGTGGAGGTATGGCACTAATATTATATATAGCATATACTGAGTGACGTGAACGGCCAGAGTGGAGGTATGGCACCAATGATATATAGCATATACTGAGTGACGTGAACGGCCAAGTGGAGGTATGGCACTAATATTATATATAGCATATACTGAGTGACGTGAACGGCCAAGTGGAGGTATAGCACCAATATTATATATAGCATATACTGAATGACGTGAACGGCCAAGTGGAGGTATAGCACCAATATTATATATAGCATATACTATGAGTGAATCGAAGGCCAAGTGGAGGCATGACACTAATATTATATATAGCATATACTGAGTGACGTGAACGGCCAAGTAGAGGTATGGCACCAATGATATATATAGCATACACTGAGTGACGTGAATGGTCAAATGGAGGTATAGCACCAATATTATATAGAGCATATACTGAGTGACGTGAACGGCCAAGTGGAGGTATGGCACTAATATTATATATATCATATACTGAGTGACGTGAACGGCCAAGTGGAGGCATAGCATTAATATTATATATAGCATATACTGAGTGACGTGAACGGCCAAGTGGAAGTATAGCACCAATATTATATATAGCATATACTGAGTGACGTGAACGGCCAAGTGGAGGCATGGCATTAATATTATATGTAGCATATACTGAGTGACGTGAACGGCCAAGTGGAAGTATAGCACCAATATTATATATAGCATGTACTGAGTGACGTGAACGGCCAATGGAGGTATGGCACCAATGTCATATAAAGCATATACTGAATGACGTGAACGGCCAGGTGGAGTATATGGCACCAATGGTATATATAGCATGTACTGAATGACGTGAACGGCCAAGTGGAGATTACAGCCCCAATCTTATATAGAGCATATACTGAATGACGTGAACGGCCAAGTGGAGGTACAGCCCCAATCTTATATAGAGCATATACTGAATGACGTGAACGGCCAAGTGAGGTATAGCACCAATGTTGTCTATAACATATACTTAGTGACGTGAACGGCCAAGTGGAGAGCATGGCACCAATGGCATATAAAGCATATACTGAGTGACGTGAACGGCCAAGTGGAGGTATAGCACCAATGTTATATATAGCATATACTGAGTGACGTGAACGGCCAAGTGGAGGCATAAGCATTAATATTATATGTAGCATATACTGAATGGCGTGAACGGCCAAGTGGAGTACAGCCCCAATCTTATATAGAGCATATACTGAATGACGTGAACGGCCAAGTGGAGGTACAGCCCCAATCTTATATAGAGCATATACTGAATGACGTGAACGGCCAAGTGGAGGTATAGCACCAATGTTGTCTATAACATATACTTAGTGACGTGAACGGCCAAGTGGAGGCATGGCACCAATGGCATATAAAGCATATACTGAGTGACGTGAACGGCCAAGTGGAGGCATGGCATTAATATTATATGTAGCATATACTGAGTGACGTGAACGGCCAAGTGGAGTATGGCACTAATATTATATATAGCAGCATATACTGAGTGACGTGAACGGCCAAGTGGAGGTATGGCACCAATGATATATATCGCATATACTGAGTGACGTGAACGGCCAAGTGGAGGTATGGCACTAATATTATATATAGCATATACTGAGTGACGTGAACGGCCAAGTGGAGGTATAGCACCAATATTATATATAGCATATACTGAATGACGTGAACGGCCAAGTGGAGGTATAGCACCAATATTATATATAGCATATACTGAGTGAATCGAAAGGCCAAGTGGAGGCATGACACTAATATTATATATAGCATATACTGAGTGACGTGAACGGCCAAGTAGAGGTATGGCACCAATGATATATATAGCATACACTGAGTGACGTGAATGGTCAAATGGAGGTATAGCACCAATATTATATAGAGCATATACTGAGTGACGTGAACGGCCAAGTGGAGGTATGGCACTAATATTATATATATCATATACTGAGTGACGTGAACGGCCAAGTGGAGGCATGGCATTAATATTATATGTAGCATATACTGAGTGACGTGAACGGCCAAGTGGAAGTATAGCACCAATATTATATATAGCATATACTGAGTGACGTGAACGGCCAAGTGGAGGCATGGCATTAATATTATATGTAGCATATACTGAGTGACGTGAACGGCCAAGTGGAAGTATAGCACCAATATTATATATAGCATGTACTGAGTGACGTGAACGGCCAATGGAGGTATGGCACCAATGTCATATAAAGCATATACTGAATGACGTGAACGGCCAGGTGGAGGTATGGCACCAATGGTATATATAGCATGTACTGAATGACGTGAACGGCCAAGTGGAGGTACAGCCCCAATCTTATATAGAGCATATACTGAATGACGTGAACGGCCAAGTGGAGGTACAGCCCCAATCTTATATAGAGCATATACTGAATGACGTGAACGGCCAAGTGGAGGTATAGCACCAATGTTGTCTATAACATATACTTAGTGACGTGAACGGCCAAGTGGAGGCATGGCACCAATGGCATATAAAGCATATACTGAGTGACGTGAACGGCCAAGTGGAGGTATAGCACCAATGTTATATATAGCATATACTGAGTGACGTGAACGGCCAAGTGGAGGCATGGCATTAATATTATATGTAGCATATACTGAGTGACGTGAACGGCCAAGTGGAGGTATGGCACTAATATTATATATAGCATATACTGAGTGACGTGAACGGCCAAGTGGAGGTATGGCACCAATGATATATATAGCATATACTGAGTGACGTGAACGGCCAAGTCGAGGTGTGGTACCAGTATTATATATAGGATATGCTGAGTGATGCCCATAACGTATAACCCGTTCACAAACACGTCTATCCATACGTGTGTATACTTGCATACGTGAATATATATATATATATATATATATATATATATGTGACTTAATACGAGTGATGAATCCTGTAGTCCTTGTCATCTAAACGCGTATACTCACGTGCTCAGTATATAACATTACTAATCACCACACGTACATTCAGAGCTGGTCGGTTTGTTTGGGTTCCAAGGATTTGAGTGTACATATCAAGCCAAACACATTTTGCTTCATGTGGACATTTAAATTGAGTAAGTTTACGTATACACGAATATGGCTAAGTCAGTACATGTTGTAATGTTGTAATGTAACACCCAACTCAGCTCTATAACGACAGGCACAACACGTAAAAGGAAAATGAAAGCAATACATCAAATCCTTATATGACATTTCCAATCATCTAAAACGTGGGATGCAGATCTCCTACAGCAGTAGCTGGATTAACCAGCCTTGGAAGTGGCAGTGCCTATGAATTCTACTTCCCGTGAAGATCCGGGTTAGAATTGATCTTCAGCAATCAACGCTTGTCGTAAGGGGCAACTAACGGGATCGAGTGGTCAGGCTTGCTCTCTTGGTTGACACATGTCATCGTATCCGAGTAGCGTATGCTGATTGTGCTAAACATGGAATGAAGCAATAGGTGGACTAATCAGTCTTGGATGTTGCCTGTGAATTCTTCTACCCGTGATTATGTGCTTCAAGCTTCAAGCAGAATGAGGACAACACGAGCCAATAGACAAACAGGGATATGCAATGTTCTGTTTTGAAGCTTCAATCCTTTCACAATAACGAACTACTTAACGAAGTGTAAGGACTCTTACCCTTAACACCTGGTTTTCAGATTATTATGTCTCAGTCTTTGCGTTCCTCATTCCTGTCATTTATGGGTTCACAAAGTATGCATGGGATTTTCTGCTAAATCAAACTGACTGGCCAAAAAAATAATGATTTATTTTCTGAAATAACACAATGTTCCAGATGACGATCCTGCTCACATCTATGGCAACCTTCGATTTGAAGATAAAGAAAACACACGACAAAAATCAGGTAAACACAACGAAGCAAATATAAAAGTTAATCGGGGTGCTTCTTTCATGAGTCTTTTTTTGAGGATTAATCATATTTAAGTGTTAATAAGTGGCCTGTATCAGGCCTACCATAGAAACGGTGAACAAATCCTCAAAACCGAGCTCATATACACCCAAACAGGACCAAAAAATCACCCAAATAGGAAAATATCCTTCCAAACCTGCAACAATTTCCTCTAAAACCGAAACAAACGCATCTGTAATGGCAAACGAATCGTTTAAAATGGTAACAAAACTCGCAAGAGCGCCCGAGAACGGTCGCCAAGCTTTCAAAACGGCAGTCTACAGCAGTACATGACTGTTATATACAGACCGCCGACATACAGCTGGAATATTGGTGAGTGCGGCGTAAAACAACAAAACACAACACCCGATGATAGTAACATGGAATACAGAACTCCAGTAGCAGTAGCTGCACCAAGTAGAAGTTGAATTTGCACTGCCTACGAATTGTACACAGTAGCCTGGACATGAAGTTATAAACCAGGCTTCAAGCAACACGAGCCAATAGGCAAACAGCGATATGGAATGTTTAGAAGTAAAACTCGTTTATTATGACAGGACGTGCGTGTCAACTCAAGGTACAGCAGTGTGAAGCTTCTTTAACTCCTTGGCAGAGTTATTACTATTCCCTGATGATATTGGCATCATAACAAATTAAAAACTTTATTTTGAAGCTTTAATCCTTTCACAATAACGAACTACTTAACGAAATGTAAGAACTCTTACCCTTAACACCTGGTTTTCAGATTATTTTGAGTCCGACTTTGCGTTCCTCATTCCTGTCATTTTGGGGTTCACAAAGTATGCATGGGGTTTTCTGCTAAATCAAGCAGACTGTCCTACAATTCTATGTAATTTATTCTGAAATAACACAATGTTCCAGATGACGATTCTGCTCATATCTATCGCAACCTTGCATTTGAAGATGAAGAAAGCACACGACAAGAAACAGGTAAACTGTTGCTGGTTTCAAACACACGAATCAGATATTAAAGTTAATCGTGGTCCTTCTTTCATAAAGCGGTTTGGAGTATTAACCATATCTAAGTGTTAATAGGAGGCCTATATCAGTTAATCAGAATTTCAAGACAAGCAGAATGATGGAGAAAGGCCCTCATGGCGATACGAATTCTGCAATTATCATAACAACTTAAAGTTAGTTTGAGTTTGCGCGTCTACACACAAAGGTATCATAGGTGTATCACAAATTATAAGATACGATCAGACCTGTATGAAGCTTCGGGCGACCATCAGCTGAACATCATGGCGTCCGATGTTTTGCTAGGGCTCTCGATAGAGAAAAACAATCAATCCCGACACCTTCCAGTGATTTGTTTTCTTCTGTGCCACGACGACACACTGGATGACACGCAGTTCATATCCACATGTATTATAATATATTAATAACTATCTTCACAGTAGGGTAAATCTGTAAAGATCCATGCTTGTCGATAGAGGCGACTAACGGGGTCAGGTGGTCTTGCTGTCTGTCTTGGTTGACACATGTCATCGCATCCCAATTGCTTAGATCGACGCTGGTGCCTTTGATCCCTGGCGTGTCTGTCCATGACTCGATTACAACCATTTAGCTGGAATATTGATGAGTACGTTACACAACAGCATCAGCAACAACAAAACAACAACAATAACAAGAGACTGTTGGGTCACACCTCGAATGACCGTCTTTGCCTCTATCACCCGAAATGCTCAATCACACTTTAATATTTGGCTAAAACTGATTTTGCCTGAAATTGGAGACGCCCACAGTGTCAGCCAACATAGTGTCTAGAAGATGATGCACAAACAAACATGCATTTGGCAAACATTTTAATTTGATTCACAGTGTATGCTGAAATTTGGTATGTTCACAGGAACTGCTTCGGGTCAATCCTACGGTGACATCCAGCTTGAAATGAGCGAGAACATACGAAAACAAAGAGGTACTAAGACGTGGATAAAGACTGTGCGGAGTGACAAAATGCACATTGACTATGTGGGGTGCATATTTACTCAACACAGCTATGCTTTACCATCTGATGTGATTGGGGGCGGCGGGGTAGCCTCGTGATCAAAGCATTTGCATAGGCCTGGATTCGATTCCCACATGGGTTACAATGTGTGAAGTCTATTTCTGCTATCCCCCAATATGATATTGCTGGAATATTGCTAAAAGCGACATAAAACGAAACTAACTTCCTCACTCTCCCCGGTTTTCACGATATCAGTGATGAGAACTGGTGGTCCAGAGGTCTAAAGAAACGCAACACACACAGCTGCCTCAGTCCGCGGGTTGTGAGTTCTAATTTAATATAAGGATGGTTCCTGGTTCATAGTAATTTAGAGATACAAAGCTTATTGACACAAAAATACAAAATAGGAATAGGTCAAAATGAAAAAAAGTTGATAACAGTTTGTGTGTTTTTGCAATGATGTAAATGAGAGTGTGTGTCATGTGTACTGGGAATGTCAGGAGACACAAACCTTTGGGATAAACCTACAAATTTGGCTCAACAATGTTTATCCTCATCCATTGATATTATCTAAAAACATGATTTGGTTTGGTACTCCACATGAAAATGGAATACTAAATCACATCATCATTGCGTAGAGACATATTCACATATGCAGTAAAAATATACTTCCAAATCTACCTTTATATATTAAACTGTAAAAGAAATATTCATTTTGGAAAATCATATATCAACAACTTTCGTTTTGTAAGTTAATGTTACATAGTGCCCTGTGCATCAGCGGTACATGGTCCTGTTTAACAGTTCTATATAAGTCCTGTTTATCAGTGGTACATGGTCCTGTTTAACAGTTCTATATAAGTCCTGTTTATCAGCGGTACATGGTCCTGTTTAACAGTTCTATATAGGTCCTGTTTATCAGTGGTACATGGTCCTGTTTAACAGTTCTATATAAGTCCTGTTTATCAGTGGTACATGGTCCTGTTTAACAGTTCTATATAAGTCCTGTTTATCAGTGGTACATGGTCCTGTTTAACAGTTCTATATAAGTCCTGTTTATCAGTGGTACATGGTCCTGTTTAAAAGTTCTATATACGTCCTGTTTATCAGTGGTACATGGTCCTGTTTAACAGTTCTATATAAGTCCTGTTTATCAGTGGTACATGGTCCAGTTTAACAGTTCTATATAGGTCCTGTTTATCAGTGGTACATGGTCCTGTTTAACAGTTCTATATAGGTCCTGTTTATCAGTGGTACATGGTCCTGTTTAACAGCTCTATATAAGTCCTGTTTATCAGTGGTACATGGTCCTGTTTAACAGTTCTATATAAGTCCTGTTTATCAGTGGTACATGGTCCTGTTTAACAGTTCTATATAAGTCCTGTTTATCAGTGGTACATGGTCCTGTTTAAAAGTTCTATATACGTCCTGTTTATCAGTGGTACATGGTCCTGTTTAACAGTTCTATATAGGTCCTGTTTATCAGTGGTACATGGTCCTGTTTAACAGTTCTATATAGGTCCTGTTTATCAGTGGTACATGGTCCTGTTTAACAGCTCTATATAAGTCCTGTTTATCAGTGGTACATGGTCCTGTTTAACAGTTCTATATAAGTCCTGTTTATCAGTGGTACATGGTCCTGTTTAACAGTTCTATATAAGTCCTGTTTATCAGTGGTACATGGTCCTGTTTAACAGTTCTATATAAGTCCTGTTTATCAGTGGTACATGGCCCTGTTTAACAGTTCTATATAAGTCCTGTTTATCAGTGGTACATGGTCCTGTTTAACAGTTCTATATAAGTCCTGTTTATCAGTGGTACATGGTCCTGTTTAACAGTTCTATATAAGTCCTGTTTATCAGTGGTACATGGTCCTGTTTAACAGTTCTATATAGGTCCTGTTTATCAGTGGTACATGGTCCTGTTTAACAGCTCTATATAAGTCATGTTTATCAGTGGTACATGGTCCTGTTTAACAGTTCTATATAAGTCCTGTTTATCAGTGGTACATGGTCCTGTTTAACAGTTCTATATAAGTCCTGTTTATCAGTGGTACATGGTCCTGTTTAACAGTTCTATATAAGTCCTGTTTATCAGTGGTACATGGCCCTGTTTAACAGTTCTATATAAATCCTGTTTATCAGTGGTACATGGTCCTGTTTAACAGTTCTATATAAGTCCTGTTTATCAGTGGTACATGGTCCTGTTTAACAGTTCTATATAAGTCCTGTTTATCAGTGGTACATGGTCCTGTTTAACAGTTCTATATAAGTCATGTTTATCAGCGGTACATGGTCCTGTTTAAAAGTTCTATATACGTCCTGTTTATCAGTGGTACATGGTCCTGTTTAACAGTTCTATATAAGTCCTGTTTATCAGTGGTACATGGTCCTGTTTAACAGTTCTATATAAGTCCTGTTTATCAGTGGTACATGGTCCTGTTTAACAGTTCTATATAAGTCCTGTTTATCAGTGGTACATGGTCCTGTTTAACAGCTCTATATAAGTCCTGTTTATCAGTGGTACATGGTCCTGTTTAACAGTTCTATATAAGTCCTGTTTATCAGTGGTACATGGTCCTGTTTAACAGTTCTATATAAGTCCTGTTTATCAGTGGTACATGGTCCTGTTTAACAGTTCTATATAAGTCCTGTTTATCAGTGGTACATGGTCCTGTTTAACAGTTCTATATAAGTCATGTTTATCAGCGGTACATGGTCCTGTTTAAAAGTTCTATATACGTCCTGTTTATCAGTGGTACATGGTCCTGTTTAACAGTTCTATATAAGTCCTGTTTATCAGTGGTACATGGTCCTGTTTAACAGTTCTATATAAGTCCTGTTTATCAGTGGTACATGGTCCTGTTTAACAGTTCTATATAAGTCCTGTTTATCAGTGGTACATGGTCCTGTTTAACAGTTCTATATAAGTCCTGTTTATCAGTGGTACATGGTCCTGTTTAACAGTTCTATATAAGTCCTGTTTATCAGTGGTACATGGTCCTGTTTAACAGTTCTATATAAGTCATGTTTATCAGCGGTACATGGTCCTGTTTAAAAGTTCTATATACGTCCTGTTTATCAGTGGTACATGGTCCTGTTTAACAGTTCTATATAAGTCCTGTTTATCAGTGGTACATGGTCCTGTTTAACAGTTCTATATAAGTCCTGTTTATCAGTGGTACATGGTCCTGTTTAACAGTTCTATATAAGTCCTGTTTATCAGTGGTACATGGTCCTGTTTAACAGCTCTATATAAGTCCTGTTTATCAGTGGTACATGGTCCTGTTTAACAGTTCTATATAAGTCCTGTTTATCAGTGGTACATGGTCCTGTTTAACAGTTCTATATAAGTCCTGTTTATCAGTGGTACATGGTCCTGTTTAACAGTTCTATATAAATCCTGTTTATCAGTGGTACATGGTCCTGTTTAACAGTTCTATATAAGTCCTGTTTATCAGTGGTACATGGTCCTGTTTAACAGTTCTATATAAGTCCTGTTTATCAGTGGTACATGTATATCCGTGCTGTAAAACAACATGATGTCCTTATCTGTATTTATCCTTTTTCACCCCAGCAAAAGACAAGAAAGTAAAACCAACCAAAGCACAGAAATACGACGACGGTAAGTTGGGCACTTTGACTTGTGGCTATTACTCTAATAGCATCAGAACTGAGAACGAGCCAGTTATAAAATTCGTTGTTTCCGCCGCACACTAAAGTATTCGAATGAGATGACGGCGATTAGATAAATTACATCACCGAGCCTGACCACCAGATCCACTTGGGATCTGCAAGCCCCTGTCTCACAGTTCCGTGAACCACATTATTTTCTTTGCTACCTAGCCCTCCATAAAGCCCTATATGGAGCAAGTCTAGATTTCCTTAGGTTCTGAATTTCCCATCTCACTTGGGCTTTTTTTAAATTTAAATGGGTATATTTTTTACTGTCAGTATATATAGTCTGAGACTAATCGTTAGTTTAGGGATTCGCATGCATCGTTCGGCATCTGTTTTAATCCGGAATCACATATTGTGGTTTGAGATAAAATGCTTTACATTTCACAAAGCACCTGTGAGTCTTTACGATACTACAAATTATACATTAATCATACAAGGATAAAGGATGTTAATATGATTAATTTATGGGTTTTTAACATAAATAATAGTAGTTTGTCACATGTTGAAACATCGATGGTTACTCATATGTATGTTACCTATATGTTTCACTGCAAGCGAGTTGATAGCCCATATTTAATAACTGAATTAGAAACCGTATGGTCAATTTGCTATGACAACCTAATCATTTAGGAGTTAAACTTAATATGTTTGAAAATTCGATAAATGTAAAACCGAATTGATACTCTCTAAACGGAAGCAAACATATGCTTTACACACCAGGATGGTTATCTGTAAATCTTGTACAAAGGATATTTATTGTTTTGTTTTTCAAAGTTGCTTGTTAACGGTTGGGCAATTGAGATTGAATATTCTTGTAATAGAAGGTAATGTGATAGTGAGGTTCCCTAATAATTGTGAAGGAAAATTGTATATAATTGTATTTTTCGAGTTTTAATAAATGTTTTTTATTATTTACATTTCCATCAGTCATGTTGGTGGCCAAGCTGAAGTAGTACGACAGTGTTGTGTGCGTGCACTGTGAAGCAGTCATAAAATCAGACGCATTTTTCAATCCAAAGTGATAGTTCATTCATTTATTTATGTACTGATTCCAGTATTTGACGTAGTCATGGTAGAGTAAAAGATCTCTTTGTACAATGCCCTGTCAATATATTGTCTTCAAAACATTACTTAAAATTATTTACTTTAAAATTTAATAAAATGTATGTGACATTCATGGAAGCCGGAAGGGAGTTAAGTTGTACACACAATGGCGGATTCTGTATCACCATTATCACTGACTTACATCTGTGTTTTTCCTTCGCAGAGCCAACCTATCAAAACTCCGTCGTCAGGAACTAGTCGTTTTCATAACTATAGATACTGACATCATCACGTGACCTGGGCACATATCTGCATCAATCGTCAGGAACTAGGATACTGACATCATCACGTGACCTGGGCACATATCTGCATCAATTGTCAGGAACTAGGATACTGACATCATCACATGACCTGGCCACATATCTGCATCAGCGATTAGTATTTACCATAATGTATGTTAGCATGTGCATGCCTATCTGCTGTTTACCATAGTTGGCCCAATGCCTATAAAACTAGCCCCATCACTGCAGTTTGGCTGTACCTAATTGGCTTCTCTCCCGTTAATCTCACAGAGTCGCCATCTTATTGTTATCATTGATCATGAAATCTGACATTATATTGATTTCTTGTATGTACTCTATATGATGCCTCATTACTCTATATGATGCCTCATTACTCTATATGATGCCTCATTACTCTATATGATGATTCATTACTCTATATGATGACTCATTACTCTATATGGTGACTCATTACTCTATATGGTGACTCATTACTCTATATGATGACTCATTACTCTATATGATGACTCATTACTCTATATGATGACTCATCACTCACCTGACGATCGCCAAGAAGTAGTTAAAGACAATTTAACATGCTCATATCCCAAGTAAATGTACAACAATGACCTTATACGTAGCAATGCTTCTTTGTTTTTATCATTTTCAAAAACACACAACGGTGACGACAGTTGTTAGATTTTTACTTAGCAATCACTAGACTTCGCTTTTTTTCCTTAGAGGGCAAACCTTTTATCATATGTAGTATGCTTTGTATGTATGACATGTACCGTTTCCTAGGCAACGCAACTGGTAATCTAGATCCCCTTTTTTCAGTACCACTGCGGCAATTGGCTCACCTGTCACATTTGAATCCAGATTTCTATGTACTTAACTGAGAAAGTGTAATCTTAAATATAACCAATGTAGCATTTCGAAACCTTCTAAAAAGCATATTTGTCTCCTAAAAGACAAGAACTCTTTCGTTTAGTTGTCCGCAGTATTTTGTGAAAGTGTATGGCTCTGAAACATGATTCCACTTGATGTCTCACTGACAAAAAAACATTGACTTAACATTGGTCCAACACAGGTTAGTTGGTAAAGCAAACGTTCAACACAAGAAGCCATGTTCGATTTTTCATAATGGTTTGTAAGGATGGTGGTACACCTGGCAACCTCTCCTTCATTTCATATACTCATATTCTTCCACTTAAATGTCACACAGTACCCTCGCTCCACAGCAATACTTCACAACGTCATTTTAGTCACTTTCCACAGCAGTTTTCAACGTAATGAGGTACATAACAACGTTACCATTCTACTTTGTGGGAACCTATATCCTTCTCTATGCTATATGTATATGACATGTACCACATGTTCCGATTGTTTAGTGAGATGATATCGTTCTGAAACGTGATGTAACTTATCTCTCTTATTGACAACCACCCCCAAAAAAACCCACCCACCACAAAAAAATAACACAAAGAAACAAAAACAAAAACCAAAACAAACAAAACATGAACACGAGGTCTCATACAGGTTGAATGGATGTTAAAACATTCACCATTATGATTTCGTACAGGCATAACGGTCTATCAGATGTCTGGCTGCACCTATAATTGTCTAACACTTTTATTTAATTCCTCAAACATTATTTTTGGATTAATAAAAGATAATATTTTTTAACGTCACATTGTTTCGATGTTTGTTTGTTATATTTCAATATTGTCAATATTTCAGCTACATGGAGGCGGTCAGTAAATAACCGAGTCTGTACCAGACAGTCCAGAGATTTAAATCCTGAGCATCGATTATGAACAATTGGAATACGAAGACATGTATCAGTCAGGTCAGCGAGCCGGACCTACCCAATCCCGTCAGTAAAGCATGGGTTGCTGAAGACCATCTCTAACCCTCATCTGTCAATATATACGATGACCTGTATCAGTCAAGTCAGCGAGCCTGACCTACCCAATCCCGTCAGTACAGCATGGGTTGCTGAAGACCACCACCAACCCGCATCTGTCAATATATACGATGTCCTGTATCAGTCAAGTCAGCGAGCCTGACCTACCCAATCCCGTCAGTACAGCATGGGTTGCTGAAGACCACCACCAACCCGCATCTGTCAATATATACGATGTCCTGTATCAGTCAGGTCAGCGAGCCTGACCTCCCAATCCCGTCAGTACAGCATAGGTTGCTGAAGGCCACCACCATCCCGCATCTGTCAATATATACGATGTCCCACCCATGTTTGACACATACCATCAATATACAGGATGTCCCGTTCGTTTTCCATACATGCTGTCAATATATACGATGTACCACCCATCTTCCACATAAACCGGCAATACAAACGATGCCCTATCCCATCTTCGACACATCGTGTCAATATATACGATGTACCACCCATCTGCCACATAAACCGTCAATACAAACGATGCCCTATCCAATCTTCGACACATAGTGTCAATATATACGATGTACCACCCATCTGCCACATAAACCGTCAATACAAATGATGCCCTATCCCATCTTCGACACATAGTGCCAATATATACCATGTCCTACCCATCTGCCACATAAACCGTCAATACATACGATGCCCTATCCCATCTTCGACACATAGTGTCAATATATACGATGTACCACCCATCTGACACATAAACCGTCAATACAAACGATGCCTTATCCCATCTTTGACACAAAGTGTCAATATATATGATGTACCACCCATCTTCCACATAAACCGTCAATACATACGATGCCCTATCCCATCTTTGACACATAGTGTCAATATGTACGATGTACCACCCATCTTCCACATAAACCGTCAATACATACGATGCCCTATCCCATCTTCGACACATAGTGTCAATATATACCATGTCCTACCCATCTGCCACATAAACCGTCAATACAAACGATGCCTTATCCCATCTTTGACACAAAGTGTCAATATATATGATGTACCACCAATCTTCCACATAAACCGTCAATACATACGATGCCCTATCCCATCTTTGACACATAGTGTCAATATGTACGATGTACCACCCATCTTCCACATAAACCGTCAATACATACGATGCCCTATCCCATCTTCAACACATAGTGTCAATATATACGATGTACCACCCATCTTCCACTCCGTCCTGCACATGCTCCCTATTTATAGATTATCTTGTTAATGAGTTCCTCAATAACTAACCTCCAATATCTGTGTTGTTCCTACTGTGACCTGGATCATCTGTAAGCTGGAGCAAAATTCCCTAACCTACTCCTTCCACAAACTGTTCAGTCAAACATGTAGGTCGCCGTTTGCGTCGGTTGGGAGATGAAGATTGGTTTGACAAAGACAGTGTCAATGATTCAACTCATGCTCACATCTATCAAGGTGTTATCTTAACAGTTCTATACAGTGGCAACAAACGATCACGCGGAGACAACAAGCAGATAGGACACAACAAGGAAATATGTGTTTTGGGAACGAACAGTCCGTAACAAAGACTATTTACAAACGTCAGTGATGGGACAAATGAAAAACACCTGAAACGAACTAGGACGAAATATTATTATGAAAAAAGAAATTCCTCGATATTCGTAATAAGATAATTAATTACAGTTTATTACTGTACTGGGTTAACAAAAGAAGTAGTATTTTGCTGTCATCGGATTTTCGTTTTTTTTAACCTAACGAATTAACAACGTGTTCGTCTTTTAAATAGAAGCGAGAAAACCTTTTCCACATACATAAGAAATCTCTGCCAAGGGCAGAGTTGATTGTACAATTGTGACTTTATCATCAGCAGATATTTGTTTCAGCAGTATTGCAGGTGTAGCCAATGTCCAACACCATTCATTATACGATGAGTTGAGAACACAGAGAGAGAGAGAGAGAGAGAGAGAGAGAGAGAGAGAGAGAGAGAGAGAGAGAGAGAGAGAGAGAGAGAGAGAGAGAGAGAGAGAGAGAGAGAGAGAGAGAGAGAGAGAGAAAGAGAGAGAGAGAGAAAATAAAACAATGTAGAAAGTGCTTATTGAGCACCAAGAAAGCTGATTCAGTTCCATACAAAATCACTGCTTTGCCTGTAACGGAAAGTGGTGAGTGGTGACGAATGTGTGAATTTGAACGAAGCTGACATCTTTTATATTTCAAACTGATATCAGAGCCCTCTACATGTTTTCTGTCAATCTTGAACTCCAGCCTGTAACTGTTGCACCATTAAGATGTCATCGGCAAAAAATAATGAAAATAGTGGTAAATACAACTCTACACTACGTCCTTCACAGATATCAGAAATCACAATGATAATTGTCAAGTGTCAGCGTTTGTGATCTCCTCACGTTTGTTGTTTTAACAAGTTCATAAATACCTCCCTGCTTCCAAAGCTATCATTCTCCAGATGACGGAGTAATTATAATATACTCCAAAACGTCATCCACAAATGACAGATAAATTCCATTAATTTCCCATATGTGTGTAACACTTGTAAATGCCATTCAAAGACTTTCAATGTCACAATACATAAGAAAGTCCCTGATTATAATTCTCTTTCATAATCCGTCTGAGTAAGACAATTTTAGTACTGTTTCCATGTTGTCTCATTTCTAAAAGTGTTGTTGCTGGCCATCGTGGGCCCAGATCTTCGTGAATGTCCATTCCTCAAGGATGGGTATATTTATCATTATTATCCTTTGGTCCATCCAGGCGTTATTTTCCTAATGTATTGAACGTTTCCTTTAGGAGAAATACCCTTGTTCTTGCATTCATACTCATTATTTTTGTGCTGGGCAATCCACTGCAACACGAGACCCATTTTGTAGTCGTCAGACAATGATACATAGTCTGAGGACTGATGTGCAACATACGGGCATCGTTGTGGATTGCCTAGGGCCTGGGATGTCGCTTGTGTCGTCACACCAAGTTGACGTACATATCAGGTTACCTCATCTCCACTTCAGCATCCTCCAAATACGTTTGCTATGAAAATACAAGACGAGCAATTGAATCATCCCCAGACCTTGCAAGAAGTTGGGTAAGCCCTCTCTGGCCAATGACCAAGACGCGTGTTTCCGCCTAGTTCTCCTGACCATGATCAAA